GTAGCTGCGTAATATCACTGTCGTGGGCCGGGGTTTGCGACTGCTCCTGCTCTTGCTTCTGCTGTCTGGGTGAGAACGTCGTCTGCTTGGAGTAGTAGCATTCTCACGTCGATGACGGCGTTCGGATGTTTTGCGATTGCTCCGGCTCCGGCTTCTGCTGTTGCGGCGGGAGCGTCGCCTCCTTGGCTTGGAGACGTCCTCATGCTGACGGTGGCTTCTTGCGTGGTGATGCTGTCTGTGATGTGTTTTGTGGCGTCGGCGAGGCAAGGGGGAAGGCACCTTGTGTGAATCTCCTGCTGGGTTGCCTGGTGTTGCGGTTGTTGTCGTGCCGGGTGGGTTGGTGTGGGTAGTGTCTGTAGGGGTCGGTGTGGATGGTGGGTGGGACGGTGGGGGAGGAGGAGAGATGTTGGTGGTGTTGTCCGTGTGAGAAGGTGATGTGTGAGGTTGTGCTTGTGGTGGAATGTTGATGCTCTGTGTGGTGCTCTGTACTGGAAGTGTGGGGTGGGCAATAGGTGTTGTGGAAGGTTGTGCTGCGATTGGCTGCACATCTGTGGGGTTGAACGTTTGTGCAGCGGGAAAATAGTATTGTGGTGTGTGTGGCTGCATGATTTGCTGGGGTGGCTGTTGTTGTAGCAGTGGTGTGAATGGCATTGTTTGGGGATGTGGTTGTGTTGTGTTTTGTTGTGGAAGGAACATGGTGTAATGCGGTGGTGGCATTGTTTGCCCACATGGGTTGTAGAGTGTGGCTGGATTGCCAGTAGGATGGTCTGTAGGGTGCAAATGTTGTTGAAATGTCTGTAGCGGCTGTGGTGCGGCGACCAAATTGGGTGGGAAAGACCCTGGGAAGGCGGTGGTTTGCTGCAGCAATGTCGGAGGCTGCTGTTGCTGATACCACATGATGGTGAAACGTAGTTGGTTGCACAATCAATGCAAGTCTGTGGCTGCCGGGGCCTTGTTGTCTTGAGAGAAGTCGAAGAAGCAAAGGAGAGGCCGATTACTTCCCGGAGGAAGCTGCAACCACTTGCATTAGACGAAAGTTACTGCATCTGCACTCATGTCAGAAGCACATGCCCTGGCATTCCCTGAGGAATAAAGGAGCGATCGAATAGAGGACAGACTAGCGAGGTAGTCCTGTGCGTTAGCGGCCAGTTACAGCACTAGACGCCGGTTACTGCATCTGCGCTCATGTCAGACTCACATGCGAGCATCAGAGAGAGAGAAAGTAATCATAAGAAGCATCGGGAGATCTGAACGGTCTGAACGAAGGCTGAACATCCGGTTTATCACCGGTTTCCCTTTCGGAGGAACACCACGGCGCCATGACGGAAAGCCGCTGCTCAGGCGTCTCATGACCCACGATAGTCACACTGACTGATTCGGCCAAGAGTACGAGTGCAAGAGGAAAAAGAGAGGCATGTTGTATGTGTTGCAAGTGCATGTCAGATTGCGGCAACCGTACAAAGCTGCATGCTCAAAGAACTGATGTGAAAAACTGTAAGAGAGCTGATCTTGCTGCCTCAGGGGGCCAGCGTTTTCTAATCGTGCTGCCTCAGGGGGCCCAGCTTGCAGGTACACAGTTCAGCGTCCTGAACTGCTTCCCACTCCATGGCATAGCTTCGTTGCATCGGGTCTGCCAAGGAGTGCCCACTGCCCCTGCAATTGTTCTTGTGTTTCACAACATGTGTTTCATTGAAAATGTACTGTAGAAAATAATGCAAGAGGAAAGGAGTGACCCTCTGCTCCCATGTGCTAGGGAGGCTCACACACACACACCACACACAACACACATTACACACACAACACACACACACAACACACATTACACACACAACACACACAACACACACAACACACACAACACACACACACAACACACACAACACACACAACACACACAACACACACACACACACACAACTCACACACACACACACACACACACACACACACAACACTGACTGATTCGGCTAAGAGAGTGAGAAGAGGAGAGTATGTTGTATGTTGTTATCTAATCTTGCTGCCTCAGGGGGCCAGCTTTTTTCTCATCTTGCTGCCTCAGGGGGCCAGCGTTTTCTAATCTTGCTGCCTCAGGGGGCCCAGCTTGCAGGTACAAGAGGATGATCAGTCCTCTCCTCCCATGTCACTGGTAGCTTCGTTGGACACAGTCCCAGCGACATGCTGTGTCCCCCTGCAATCGTGTAGGAGTGACCCTCTGCTCCCATGTGCTAGGGAGGTTCACACACACACACACAGCCCCACCTTGGGGCGACTGTGTGCAGTGGAATAAAACCGCGCCAGCGCTCCAAGACCTAAAACGAACCCCAAACTAAACCACAAGACCCTGTGGGCTGCAATGCCCGTTTGCAAAGCTTGTTGATGTGGTCCAGAATGTAGCAATGTTGTGGTAGTCCAAGCTGTGGTGAGGCGTTAAAGTTAGGGTTCAGGACTGTTCTTCAGCTGGGCACGCAAGCCCCCAGAAGCGACAGAGGGGAAGGACGGCTGATCAGCTGCCCTTGCGAGGGCCCAGATCCAGCCAGGGACTGTTCCTCAGCTGGGCGCGACGGCCCCCAAAGGCAACAGTAATAAGGGTTAACAGAGAAGGCTGCTACCCAGCTACCCTCGAAGGGGTCCAGGGCTAGCAGCTTCTGACCAATGTATTGCACATGTGGTTGTATGTTGTAATTAGCAGCTACCCGAGCAGGGTCCAAGGCCAGTAGCAGGATTAGGGAACTCCACCCTCCGGACCATCCTCCAGCTGTGCAGAAAAGCACCCAGGAGCAATGGAACGAGAGGTACCACGTCCTGCGTGGTCCTCAACTTAAGGTGCGGGGAGAGAAAAGCGAGAGGCCGATTACTTCCCGGAGGAAGCTGCAACCACTTGCATTAGACGAAGGTTACTGCATCTGCACTCATGTCAGAAACTCATGCCCTTGCATTCCCTGAGGAATAAAGAAGCGATCGAATAAGGGACAGACTAGCGAGGTAGCACCTGCTCACTAGCCGCAGTTACCGCATTAGCCGACCGTTACTGCACCTGCGCTCATGTCAGACTCGCATGCGAGCATCAGAGGGAGAGAAAGTAATCATAAAGAGCATCGGGAGATCTGATCGGTCTGAACGAAAGTCTGAACATCCGGTTCACCATCGGTTTCCCTTTCGGAGGGACACCACGGCGCCATGACGGAAAGCCGCTGCTCAGGAGTCTCAGGACCCACGATAGTCACACTGACTGATTCGGCTAAGAGAGTGAGAAGAGGAGAGTATGTTGTATGTTGTTATCTAATCTTGCTGCCTCAGGGGGCCAGCTTTTTTCTCATCTTGCTGCCTCAGGGGGCCAGCGTTTTCTAATCTTGCTGCCTCAGGGGGCCCAGCTTGCAGGTACAAGAGGATGATCAGTCCTCTCCTCCCATGTCACTGGTAGCTTCGTTGGACACAGTCCCAGCGACATGCTGTGTCCCCCTGCAATCGTGCAGGAGTGACCCTCTGCTCCCATGTGCTAGGGAGGTTCACACACACACAACACACACAACACAACACAACGCACACACACACAACACACATAACACACATAACACACACAACACGCAACACACAACACACACAACACACACAACACATGCACACGCACACAACACACACCGAGCACACACACACACAACACACACACACAACACACACACAACACACACAACACAACACAACGCACACAGACACACACACACACAACACAAACAACACAGACAACACAACACAACACAACACAACACAACACAACACACAACACACAACACAACACACAACACACAACACACAACACGCAACACGCAACACACAACACAAAACACACAACACACAACACACAACACACAACACACGACACACGACACACGACACAACACAACACAACACAACACAACACAACACACCACACACACACAACACATGCACACACACACACAACACACAACACACACACACAACCCGCATGCAACACACACCTGACACACAACACACAACACACACAACACACACACAACACAAACAACACAGACAACACAACACAACATAACACAACACACAACACACACCACACCAACCAAAACACACATATGCACATGCATGCATGAAAAATTGAAAAATAAATAATGACCGTTGTTTATAATAATTAACTTTAGTCATGCAAAATTCGAATCCATGATCCAGATCGATCGACGGACGACACAAATGGATATCAGGATTGCAATGGTCACACTGCACTCGATCGATGATCTCGAAGCATCGGACGGCAGCATCAATGGCATGCTCCATATATTGGACTCACGAATCCATCTCAAAAGTGGTCCGTCGTGCATGCAAACACGATCATTGCAATATATCATGCTTCGAGCATTTTCGAACTCATGACCGTGCAATAGCAAATTTAAGGTATGATAGCCATGAAGTACCGAAAATGTATCACAATAATAATATAGGCACGCATGTGAGTCTGTGTGCATGTAGACATGTACATGTATGCACGCATGCATGACAACAGAAACATATTTATATAATATATGCATGCAAGAAAGAAAACGAACCGAACACATTGTGCATGCAAACCCTGCCAAAACAAAGTCTCGAAGTCGAACACTTTTTCTTCTCACTGGCGATCAGGCTGCCACGACGGAGCCTGATTGTTTGTAAAAAACATGTCGCATTAGAAATTGCATGGGCTGTATTGGCTCCACTCCGACGGGTGGCTATGAGACGAAGTGCCGCCGCAATCCTCGTCACAGCACATCCAAATCGCAGGGAAATCTCTGGACCTCTCACAAAAGTGTTGCCTGCTAGATGTGCACCTTGGACTGAAATCTCCTGCAATCATCCAATAGAACACAAGGAACTTACATGCTGCGGCGAGCTTCTCTTAATGAAAATGGAAAAGGCATTTGTGCTCGTGAGACTTGTAAGGCAAGTCTTTGAAGCCAGTTTGGATCTTCTGTAAAGACTTGCTTTTCGTCCTACACAGAAGCCGGGTCCGCGGCGTTGGCCTGACGAGGTAACGACCAGCAGAAAGAATCCAGCCAGAGCGCAAAGAAGGGAACCGAGACCCACGCGGCTCGCTTCTGCGCAGCGGTGGCCTAGCAAGGCAAGGAGCGCAAAAGAAGAGCCGGTAACAAAGGGAAAACCCAAGGCCCTCACAGCACGCGAAAACATAGACGAGCGACAGGCGCCGCAGACCGGGTCGCCTTTCTCTAGAGGGCGGTTGCGCCTGATGCAGAGGACAGTAGAAAGCAACAAACAAACTGTGACGGCCTCTTGGTTTTCTCCATTTCGCCTGACCACACGGCAAACGATCATGTGAAGGAGAACAAGCCACAAGAAGGCCTGCCGCTTTGATAATGTGCGGTTCACGGAGATTGTGGATGTCCTTCTTCTTTTTGCAATGCTTCACCGAGCAAGCCTGTCAGACTGAAACGTCAGGAAAAGCTTGGCCTCTGCGGCCTTCTCCTCGCACGCATCCGCTCGGAAGAGTGGACCTCGCGCAATAGCCGTGGCAAGAAGCAACATGACGAATTAAGCAGTCGAGGCACACAGCAGTTTGTGCAACTGCAGGCGATTCGCCAGCGACATCCCCTGCATGAGGCAAAAAACGAAGCATGAACAAGTGATTCCGTCCTGGGCCTGGACGCCGGTGTGGACGTCGGAAGGCGTGAGCTGAGAGAAGGTGCGCTTCAAAACTTCCGGAGTAGGCCTTACGACGCAACGCAGCCCAAGGCAAACTTGCACGCACAAAGTAAGCTTCGCACATGACTCGCACGAAGCGCGAACTCACAAGCAGCTCTCGTCGCAAGCAAAAAAAGCTGCCGGCGGAAAGCGAGTACTGCCAGGACCACTGCTACCAGGACTAGTACTACCGCAAGCACTACCAGAGAACTACTTCGACTAATACTACTACTACTACCACTACTACTACTGCTTCTACTACTTCTACTTCTACTTCTGCTTCTGGTTCTGCTTCTGCTTCTACGTCTACGTCTACGTCTACGCCTACGCCTACTCCTACGTCTACGTCTACGTCTACTTGTACGTCTACTTGCTCTACTTGCTCTACTACTTGCTCTACTACTTGCTCTACTACTACCACTACTACTACCACTTCTACTACCACTTCTACTACCACTTCTACTACCACTTCTACTACCACTTCTACTACCACTTCTACTACCACTTCTACTACCACTTCTACTACCACTTCTACTACCACTTCTACTACCACTTCTACTACCACTTCTACGACCACTTCTACTACCACTTCTACTACCACTTCTACTACCACTTCTACTACCACTTCTACTACCACTTCTACTACCACTTCTACTACCACTTCTACTACCACTTCTACTACCACTTCTACTACCACTTCTCCTACCACTTCTCCTACCACTTCTCCTACCACTTCTCCTACCACTTCTCCTTCTCCTTCTGCTTCTCCTTCTCCTTCTCCTTCTCCTTCTCCTTCTCCTTCTCCTTCTCCTTCTCCTTCTCCTTCTCCTTCTCCTTCTCCTTCTACTTCTACTTCTACTTCTCTACTACGACTACAACTACAACTACTACTACTGCTACTACTACTACTTCTACCACCACCACCACCACTACTACTACTTCTACTACTACTACTACTGCTACAACCACTGCTACTACTGCTTCTGCTTCTACTTCTACTACTACTGCTACTACTGCAACTACTTCTACTACTTCTGCCACTACTGCTACTGCTACTACTACTGCCACAACTGTTTTTGAATTGAACGCAGCGCGAGCGGACTGAACACGTTGCAGGCGGAATTGATAGTGACAAGTCGGTCGAGGCTCGGGAGCCTCATGGCCGCTTCAAGGCACTTTTGAGCCCCAAAGATTGCTTGAGCTTCGGTCTACTGGAACTGGAACACCCTTCCGTGCGACGCAATGCGTTCTCAATCCTGCAATAAAATTTGGTTGCAAGCACCAATGCTCGTTCCAATTCAATCCAGGCCAATGCGATCTCGACTGTCGACAGCTGGCTTATCAATGTCAACGTCTACATGCAAATGTTAATTCTCTTTCTGGGACATTGATCAAGAGACCTCTGGCTGATTGCTTTACTGAGATGGCGGCCAACTTGCTTTTCCCAGAAGGATTGAATGTGGGAAGTTCAAGTTTTATGAATTCACTTTGCACTTGCCCCATGGATGGCATTCTGCAAATTGATGCACTGGATTCGTCAGAGAGTGATTGAGTGGACAGTTGAACATTGCGCTGATCCAATTGAAGATGCGTGCTACAAAATTGAGACAAGTACTGGAAAGGAAGCACAGCTTCTTGATAAACCACGCAATTCATCCACCATGTGGAAGTTGCCATTGACGTGCAAGTCCTTCTGGCAATTCTAAGCACTTCATTGAACAGGCACCTCCGCATTCCATTGGCCATGCGGAATGCCTTGATTGGTGAGTTCTCATTGCCTCACCTCAGCGGCACAAGAAGAGATGATTGAAGATGATGATTGTGACCGCTTTGAGCATCCTGATGGTCGCACCAAGATCATTGTGGAAGCAGGCACTACTGTGCAGGTTGGTCCATCGCAGCGCCCAGCGCTCGACTCGGACCTCTCGCAACTGATTGAAGGATTGCGATCAGAAGCAAGTGGCACGTGGATTTTCTGCATTGAAATTTTTTGGTGAGCTTTGATGATTTGCAATTTTTTTGCAATTCTGACAGGTGTGGACAGTGCATGGATGCATTGTCCAAGGAACCGTGTTAGATTGTAGCATCAGTTCATAGCCATCATTGTACACATGTGCACCTTGCACATTGGCTCAAGAATGATCTGAGTGCTTGTGAAAAGATCGTCGACCGAGTGATTGCATTCTGAAGCTGGTTGCATCTGCGACTGAGCATTTGATCGTTGCATACGGCACTCCAAGTGAAGCTTGGGATTGATAGTTGAATTTTCATTCAAGCTCCCCAAGGTTCTGACCTTCTCGCCGCCTTCAACCAAGGTCGAAGCCCCCTTCACCCCCTTGAAGGGCGCAGCTATGATTTCTACGCTCTGTTAGCAGCATCAGCAGCACGTTTGACTGCCAGCACATCTAACAAAGCGACTGAAAGTTCCCGGGCGCGTTTCTTCAGGTTTGCTGGCAGCAGCCTTCTTTCTTCAGTGCTTTCACAGCTGCGCTTCCGCTTTCGCTTCCTTCTTTTGCAAGCACGAGCTGGCCCGGCCAGAGATTTGGTCTGGCTGGCTGCTTCTTGACGACTGTCGGACTCAAAAGCTCTCTTCCGCAGGCGCCGCATACAATCTTCCAAGGTCTGGCAGGACCACTGAACTGTGTCCAGCGGCTATTCGGAGAAGTAGGTGCCAACCACGCAGAGCGGCGAGTTGCTCCGGAGAAACGGGTTGAGAGGCAAGCTGAGCAATTCCACGGATGCCAACAGGTTGGCGATAAGTCGGACCATCGGAAACTCTCTCTGCCACACTGTGTTGCAGCACTGCATTCCTGGATCATTCAGGAAGTCAGACTTGGATGTTATGAAGAGAATACGGTGCACCCAGCCTGTGCCGAAGCCTCGGTGCCATTTCGCTTCTGAGGTGCACCTTGTGTTGTCGTTCCCACAAGCGGGGAGGCGGCTGCCCACGTTCCTCACTTTCCAGCTGCCCCAAACTTCAAGCCGGCCGAGTTTGTAGCACTCAAAAGCGTTCTTGCCTTCATCCAGTAGCTAAACGCAGCAATCCTCGGGATCCTTTCTGCAAGCACTGGCGCTTGCCTGCAACATTGATTCCAGCTGAGTTGCACACCTTGGCCGCCCAATGGACAAACATTTTGCCACCACATCGACAAGTCACTCAACAGTTCGGATGGACTTCTGTGCGGACACTCACCTGCATTGACGCTGTGTTGGAGCAAACTTTGTTTTGGACAGCACAGCAGCATTCAGCGCTCATCGCAGTTGTGCGTTTCGTCTCCAACCTCTAAGTCCATGCTCCAGAATGGCTGCATTCGCTCGTTGTTGTGCGGAAGATCGAGATGCTGAAATGATCGACCCGTCTTTTGACCATGTGGGTCTCTCATCGGGACACATGATTTTCGCGACGCCAGCGACTGTGTGCCGGAGTGAAGCCAGCACTCGGAGTCCATGGTCACCACCGTTTCCAAGGCGTTTTACCTTTCATACCTCCGATACAATCAATTACGACACTGCTTGGTGCAGCGCTTCGTGTTGTCGCAGGCACACCATTCTTGCTCTGAAACGGTCTTGCTACCACCGATTGCTACGATCCTACACACGGTGGACTCCACTTTGTCGCCTGCCGCAAGTTTCTTCAATTGCCAGCCTGTTGATGGAATAGAGTGCCGAGGCACTGCAACAATTGCTGTCCACCCCCACGATTGCCTGATTTTGTCTCCACGAACTTGGAAGTCAAACTCAGCTCTCAGAATTTGGGAGTGAAGGTGGTGGATTTCACTGACCGGCTCTCATGTTGCAACGTTGCAATCAGTAAAGTTTTTCACGTCGTCTGATGTCCCCACTTGCCGTATCTGTGCATTGGCTCAGTTCTACGCCTGCCTGAAGGACATGTTTTTCGACCGAACGGAAGTTCCCAGTTCGGAACGGCAGCTTGATGCAAATGTTTCTTGGCTCCAAAGCGAGACCCCACCACCAAGCAAGAACCATTTCGACAAACTGCGGTGTGTTGCTGCCAGTACATGCTGTTTGATCTCACCTGGGCGCGAGCTGACGAGTTCGGTTAATGTATTCGCAGCTGCTTCCTATTTGCAGCTTTATATGTAATGGAAATACATATAAAGCAAAAGAGTATTCAAATGGAATATTCAAATGGAATTGATGCAGTCACTCGCACAACACTCGCTCCTTTTGTTCTCTGGCGGGAAATGCAGATCCGAGCTTCAGCAGCAAGAAGCTGCCTGTGAAAAGGGTCTGCATGTTTTCTCCCCCCCCCCGATGGGATCGAGGTGCATCAAAAGGCACCGACCTGCCATGGAGAGAGAGAATGCAGATGGACCGATCCTTTTAAAGGACAGACCATATAGATGCACAAGAGAGAATGCGAATGCAAGCAATGCTAAAGCAGTGTAAGAGTGCAGACGCCAGCACTTGCACCCAGAAACAAGGGAAGAGGTGGGTGGGACAAAATTTCTGCCCGCTATGCAGGCGAGTTGGCAGCTGCGAGCCTGCTTGCTGCAATGCACATGGAATGTCATGAATGCAGCAAGCATGCAAAACATTACCAAACACTCGTGAGCAAGCACACATACCGTTCGGTTAATGTATTCGCAGCTGCTTCCTATTTGCAGCTTTATATGTAATGGAAATACATATAAAGCAAAAGAATATTCAAATGGAATATTCAAATGGAATTGATGCAGTCACTCGCACAACACTCGCTCCTTTTGTTCTCTGGCGGGAAATGCAGATCCGAGCTTCAGCAGCAAGAAGCTGCCTGTGAAAAGGGTCTGCATGTTTTCTCCCAAATGCAATCTGCCAGAGAACCGAAGTCGCGCATCAATTCC